TCAACCTTATGCTGTATATGTTTGGTTTTATACGTCTCTCGATAAAAATAAAGCCACTTCTCGTAAAATGCGACAGAACTTTACTTCAACCTGATACAAATGCGCTTGTTACGAGGTTGGAGCATTGGCGCGTTTCTTCTGTTTCTTTCTCCACAACTGACTTTCAGGATATATCTTTTGGAACCTCACCATTCAGATTATTTGATCCTGGCAAGTCCTAGGAAAAAGAGTTCAAAATCAGAAATGTGTGCGCTAGTTAAATTTACTAGAACAGCGAGATAAAGATGTAGAAAAAGAGCTCAGAAACCGTCCTAAATAAGGCCGTCTTTCTTGCAGCTGAGCATGATCATTGAACAAGCATAAGGTGGTCACGATCAGCTGCCACACAGTGGTCTCATGAACTTCATTGAACCTTTCCTTTTCCAGGAAATGTATCCAGACACTGAAAACGGCCGCGGTAGTATAAAATTGAGTCTTCGAGCTCGAATGCAGCAACACGCTCGGAATCATGGCATTCAGATTGATGGAAGTGGCCAAAAACAACCGCTCAGGTGAATTCTAAGCGAATTACATACGTGTAGGTCCTCTCAAGCGGTAGCATTTAGAGAAGGGCTGGCTGTTCAATGATAGCCTGGACAAATCAAACGAGATTATACAAATTACTAAGCTAGGGGGACACATTGAAAGCCATTTGAGAGAAAGAGCGTAATAAGAACAAAGGCAGTAATAGTTCTTTATTTTGTAAGCCTACTTCATCTACTACTGCAGACATTACCGTTCTAATCCTTCCTTATTGTTTTAATCCTCGGTTCCTGAGTGTTAGATTTTCTGCGCCCGAATCGGTTCTCGATGCGGTACGTTGGGCATGTCAGGGGGCTGTGTTTGGCGCGGCGCTAGACCTCCCTCCACCAATTTTTGGAGCGGGCAAGCGGCAACAATTGGTGACAAACGGTCCGGCTCTGCGCCAACCCCTGCTTTCCTGACGTAGATCAGCATCCGCAGAAAACCTCAGTTGATGCATCGCTGATCGAATAGTCTTCATAGAAGGTCTTTCTGGAAACTAAGATTGCCTTTGAGCTGTTTGAGTTTGTGCAAAACTAGGCATTTTTATCAGCACGCTTTCAGGACTGACCCACGAGCTACAATTGCAATGCTGGGGCCTGCCGTTCACATAATGCATCAGGTGAGATTATTCCCTTACTTCCTATTGTTTCTAATGGTAATATCTCACATATTTCATCTTTTTTGATACTTAATTAATATAAACTTCCAAGAGATTAAATAGACCTCACTATCCTTCGATGGAATCGCCTGTCGCCCGTAAATGATCCTGTCTACGTTACACATTTTGTCAGATGATGGGCAGTCTATGTCCTACAGTATCCAAAGTGGTTAATTTACCTGATGAATCGGTGACAGACATAGGAAAGAATTCTTCCCAACAGTAGAACGCCTGACAAAAGAAGAGTTGTACTTCTATATTATCTTGCATTTCTCTGATGTTGGGGAGTGAGTGGCGCGTTTCTAATTCGGTCTTTGTGACGCTTTTGATAGTCACTTGTCACGACAACTACTACTCGGCGCTACTGCGTAGTACTACGAGCTTTGAGAAACTTCAATCATATTTCAAGGACATGTCCAGAAGGAATCCAAAGAGTCTACTCTCGGTGAGCATATAGGGGCGGAAGTTGCGGAACAGGAGTTTAAGATGGTAAATGATCTTTCGTCAGCAGTTGACCCTCGTTTCTTAAATTGGACTTTTTGAAGGAGCCATGAAATGTCTCAGACTAGGCTAGGGAAGCCCAGGCGTGTTGATAGGGACTGCTGTTTTGTGAGCTTGCATGAACTTACATTCGAGCTGCTGCCCATGTGAGTTTGAGAAGCACTCAAAGATTGAAGGGTTCCGGTATTAAAGACGCCTTGCGGCAATGGTACCGTGAAAGTGGAAGAAATTTTGAACAGGTGACGTCGATATTGCTGCAGCAGCGGTCAGAAATTTTTTAATGCTCGTTTTGTTAGCAAGAAGGGGCAGGAACTGAAGCTCACTACGATATGTCCACCTGATCCTTCTGTGTCCGACACTTTCGTTGATCTTCCTCCTCTACTCTTCAGGGTTAGTTCCGCACCGTCGCGATTCCGCTGTTCTCGTTAGACATCGCCACCTTCTGTCCTGGGCATCTTCTGTCGTGACATTGGCCTCGAGGTCCTTCTTGATGAGCGTTCCCTCCAGCCTCCCCGTGTCGTTTTACTATTTGTTTCGGGAATCATTAATGCTTCCTGATCAGTGTGATCTCTGAGCCTCAAGTATCTTCAATCGCTGTTCTCAATCCTTCCGGTTCAGTGTACTGCTACCGACTCTGGTAGCAAGTATCTACGAGCCAGCAGTCGCAGAGCATTGCACGAGAGCAGCAGCTCCAATATGGACGTTGACATGGCCTTGCAGTTGGACCCGAGATCGCATGACGCTGACAGCCCTTATGTTGTTACACCTTCACTTCAGCTACATCTAATTTCAACAATCGAAAGAGCCACTTTTATTGCTGTAAGTATTTCAGGAACTTGGACATGTGCCAATATTTCTTGCTTGCCACGAAAACTTGTGCAGCACTCATCACGCACTTCAAATCATGAAATCATTAAGGGGGGGACGGGCATGGATCCACCACTGACTTTCGCGTGGGCCGCAACGAAATTCAGTCGGTGTTTTTCCCGGTAACATTAAGGACTTGTTTTCAAATAGCTACCTTATTTGCGGGAGGCAGGAGGGAATAGTGCCTGAGCAGGTTACCTCTGATTGACATTAATCGTCGGATACCTCTAGTCCATTACTTGTCAGTGATTATAGGCACATTCCGAGATTATTGTGTGAGTGGAGTATTGAACATCTGCTCTTTCCCTGTTGAATCTTACTCCAAATCTTACTTACCGTTAGAGGTATCCCTGAGATCGGTAGGCGTGGCCTCAATGTTCTAACTTAGCCTGAGAGGGGTGTGTGCTGCCTTCTCGTGAGATATTTTCGTTTGACCAAATTGCTTGTTGTGTATCTGCTCCAAACAAACAAGGATGACAGCTTGTTAGGACTGGCTATCCTACGAGTAACCAGTTTTGTGCCATGTGCAAATGCCACGCCTACTCATGTCTCAGAGTAAGGAGTGTTACCATGGCCAAGTAGTCGATTTGCTCAAGTAATAGTACATGATAGCCCAGGAGTGGTGCTATATTCTGCGGAGAAACTGCGAAAAACGCGAAGTGAAACGGTCAAAACATGTAAAAAACCTTTATCTGCAAGGCATTAGACGAGCATTTCCGGACGAGTTCCTCTTTGGCATCGTGCCAGCAATCGTGTGTGATGGATACGGCTGCACGCATGTACTTATATAGCCATGCAACAACGCTTCATATTAATTGTACTTCATAACTGAGCGATAAGAGCACAAGCGTCGATGTAACTGTGGCCGTTTGTGGGTGGGCGGTTACGATGGGCATGTTGCGCCCTGTAGGTGCTATAGCTGTGCCCGTAAATGAGAAAAGCGCCACGTAGCGCCTGCTGAAGAGCACGGTATTCTTTCGTGCTACGTCTATCGGTCCCGTACGCCTTTTCGATTTATCGTGCCGCTTGCTTTAAGATTTCAATGTAGAATATTGCACCAGTGAGGAGAACGCAACAGGGATGCGCACTGCAGTCTAACCAACACCGCCTATACGGGGAGTGCAAATTGGGCAGTGTCATCAAGCAGAGTCTCGTTCTGGAGGAGAGACTGGGACCTTTCTGAAGATCGGTGTTTTCTCTAAACGGTTTGCTTCTCATTTAGGAGCTTGGGAATTTCTGAACTCTAAAGCCAGCACGCATTACTTCCTAACATTTATTCCTCCTTTTTCTCGAATGCCAGGACATTTAGAGAACTTTCAAACCCGTCCATGGAAGTAAGAAACTAGAGCAATTAAGGCAAATGTTGAGCTGATGATTTTTTTGCAATTTTTGCCGCAATATTCCGTGGTAAAAGGCGACATTACAAGATTTATCAAATACTTATCCATCATTTACAAGAAATCTTTCACAGGTGTCATTTGACACAACTATGAACATAATAGAATAGTTCACGAAAGGAATCAGTAGCACGTATGCGAACAATATGCCCCTTCGTTCCTTGTGTTATCTCATCCTGCTACTGTTTGAGGTCTGGAGAGGTATGGCCTGGGTGACGGACGGGATTGAAGACGAAGAAGAGGAAACACGATCGTCTGATAAGATGGAACAGGTGAGAGTTATAAGACGTCCAAACTCGGAAATATAGTTCCAAACTCTGAGTCCATGATGATCTACTGGTCGGAGAGAGACAACCGCTGAGCTAAGACGAATTTACATAAGCTCTCGATTTTTTTTTTTGTGATCCATAGAGCCCAGATCTCAAGAGTTAATTTTCACCCCGAATCAAACGCTGTGATTCTCGAAATGTAGCTCAAAGAGCTCCATATCAACCGAGCTCCCCTAGGCGTCCCGTGCGTTATGGGCAAGAGGAGGGCGATGACACGTTCAAGTAAAGGTATCATAGTATCATAAGGTCGGCTCGAGCAAGAGAGTACCCCCTCAGACAATTTCTAACTACTTAAGTGTTGAAAGCTGTACCTATCTTGCAATCCTAAAGGCATAATCCGCATCCGTCATGTGGGCGGAGTCACGAAACTGTTCTGACGGGCACTCTTGCAATTTTAGCTCTCATTGGTAGAGACGGACCCAAGAAAAGTATATGTAGTTCTGCTTTCGCTAATGTCTATCCTCATGTAATACAGTCGGCGTGGACTTTGCGTTCAGGGCACGTCGCACGTTGGGATCCCACCGAGGAAAGGGGTTGTATTTGGCCGCTCTAGAAAGTGGGTCGTAATTTGCTCTCCCCACCCTCGCCAAACGGCATTTTCTTTAAGAGCAAAGTGGATGATTTCTGGGAAAAAATCGGAAAAGTGCAGAAAAATTGGAAGAAGTTAAAGATAATCATGGAGGCGGTAGGTAGGATGAGGCATGGGGATGTGGGTGCGGGGTTTACAGAGAAAAAGTTATTTAGGGAGTCGTATTCGCCTAACTTTCCCCAACGGCAGGACGTGCCTATTTGCGTTCTAGCACTTTGATTTATGGATCTTTATAGGGAATCGATTCATACGGTAGTATGGCGGTGAAGAAGCTTTCAATTATTCCTGAGGCGAGTTCCTTTGTCAAGGAAACGGTAAGTCATTTAGCTCACACTTTTCTTGTACACCAACTGTATCGTGGACTTTCAGAGTGTTCAAGTGGAAGACAGCGACGAAATAAATTCCATGAATGACGTTGCCCTCTAATCTGCGCTCAGCATACCTCTAGCTCCAGTTCCACACCGCCAATTATGATATGCTCCAAATTTTTTCGTTCAATTATCACGGGTTCAGATATGCTCAATAGTATATTTTATACAAATTGCATTCCATGAGGGTAAATAAAGTTCTCGATATAGACTATGACATCATTATTACAACTCCACAATTTGAAACAAACATAGTAAAGTGAATCGCTCTTATTGGAGGTAAGCAGGGTTTGAGAAGAAGGATCTAAGGCATATCAAATATTTTCGGGATACGTCCAAACACTCGGTTTCCCTTCAAAAATGTTGTAGCTCATTTCTAATCAGAGTGACATTTGAAGGATTTTGGCGCTGTTCTGCTTGGAGGGGGCACTTTGCGCTATCGCTAGTTGCTTTTGTTAGTTCATGTTGAAAACAAGAAAACTCTTGTGAAGCAACGAAACGGTGCCAGTGAGCACATTGGTCATGGGATTCAACAGACCTTCCCAATGTGGTGTATGGCCTTAGTTGGGAATGACTCAGTGCCCAAGCCAAGTGGAATGCGCCAATTTTGCGACCAGCCGTTGAGGATTTCTTGTAGGTGGAGTGGTTGCAAAAAGAAGTTTACGTGCTAGTTTACCCCGTGAAGAACAATCGGAGCAAGTTTTTGGAAGCACCCTGAATAAGTGCCCTCTTTGTTCCAAGCGAGAGGCACACAGCAGATGGAGATTTCGAGTGAGAGGCCAGATAAGAGCAGCGAAAGAGCGTGTGGATGAGCAATACGACAGATACGACAGCTAGCAATGGGTCTTACTAACAAGTTGA